TGTGAGAGATGCACACTATCCGTAGTACGATGAAGCTCTAATCCTAGGAAGTAATGAGCTTCCCCAAGGTCACAGAGAGCAAAAGTGGTAGAGAGTTGGGAGATGAGAGTAGTAAGTGTTGACGTAGAGGATCTGATGATTAGTATGTCGTCCACATATAAAAGAAGGAAGATGACATCAGTGCCAGTCCGACGCATGAATAGAGAGCTATCTGCTTGGAATTCAAGAAAACCAAGATGAACCAAATGGTCCGGTAATTGGGTAAACCAAGTCCGTGGGGCTTGTTTCAAACCATAAAGAGAACATTTAAGCCAACATACAAAACGCGGTCATGCTTGATCAACAGATTCCATGGGCTATTTCATAAACACTTCTTCACTAAGGTAGCCATGAAGGAATGCGTTGCTCACATCAAGTTGTCTAAGAGTCCTACCATATTGAAACCGCAAGAGAGAGTATTAATCGAATATTGGTATGTTTAACAACTAGACTAAAAGTCTCAACAAAGTTAATGGTCCCATCTGGATGTCTCTTTTATTTTATAAACCCAACGATTTCCCACAATGTTCTTTTGAGGAGGTGGTGGTACAAGATCCCATGTATCAGTGTTTAACAGAGCTTTGTACTCTTCCTTCATGGCAAGCACCCAACAAGGATCTTTCTTTACAACATTGTAACAAGAGGGTTCGATGTCGAAGTCAACAGAAGCTTCTAAAACATACGGTGGATTTGGTTTGCGAACACCACTTTTACCCTGTGTCTGCACCATGGGATCATTATTAAGAGTTGGTGCAATTAAGCGAGGTGTTGTATTTGATGGAGCTGATGATGGATTAGTCAATTCAGTAGAACCAACATTAGTTGATACGACAGGTGGACTAGTGAGGGTAATTCTAGTAGAGACTGTAATGTGTTTAGGAGAAGAGAACGAATATGTAACAACAGGTGGGCCAACCGAAGTGTTGGTAGCCGAACTAGGCACTGAAGGGGGCCTACAAGAAGCATATGGAAAGTTATTCAAATAAAAAACCACATTCCGAGAAATATAGAGACGGCCTGATGTTAAGTCCAAACATTTGTACCCTTTGTGATGTAGACTGTAACAAAAAAATAAGCTACATTTGGAGCGATAGTCTAGCTTAGATTGATTATAGGGTATGAGATGTGGATAACAGACACATCCGAATGTACGTAAGATATTATAATCAGGTTCTTTTCCAAAAAGACATTCTAAAGGAGATTTCATCTGCAGTATTGGGGTAGGAAGGCGGATAATTAAAAAAACTGTAGTCACAAAAGCAACATACCAGTAATGTTTGGACATTGAAGTCGTAGCTAAGAGAGTAAGACCCATTTCAACAATATGGCTCTACAACCCCATTTTGTTCATGAAGATGGGGATATGAGAGACAATGAGTGATGCTTGAACTAGAGAGAATAGGTAGAAGTGGCTTGTACTCTGTACCACCATCTGTTTGTAGTACTTTGATAGAAGTATTCAATAAGTTCTCCACATTCCTCTTAAAAACATCAAAGATAGAAACAACCTGAGTTTTAGAAGCCATAGGAAAAATCCATATATATTTGCTAAAAGCATCAACAAAAATCAAATAGTATCGAAAACCATGTAGAAACTAGGGTTGGTCCCTAAACATTAGAAAACAATAGTTCTAATGGAAACTTGGCAACAAAACTACTAGCAAAGAATGGCAGGGTATGACTCTTGCCTAGAGGATAGGATAGACAAAAGGAGATGTCCTTATTCAAAACTGGAATCTGAAATGAAGATAAAATGTGAGCATCAACTCTCTTGCTGGGATGTCCTAGTCATTGATGCCATACTAAAACATATACTTTCTCACCAATGAATGCGGATGAAGCTTTATTTGTGCAATTGGACTTGAGTTGATAGAGCCCTCCTTTAATCATCCCTTGGAGGAGAATTTTCCCAATCGCATTGTCCTTAACAAAGAAGATAGTAGAGTCAAAAATAAAAGTTGCACTATTATCCTTACAAAATTGGCTGACAAAGAATAAGTTCTTAGAAATATTAGGGACTCTGAGAATATTATTCAAAATAAGAGACCCTGCATCAGTATGCAAAACAGAAGAACCAATGTTAGATATTGCTAGACTTGTATCATTTCCCACTGTGATGTGGTCTGATCCATGATACTCATTGTGAAGAGAGAGGTTCCCAAGATCTGAAGTCATATGGTTGGTTGCCCCCGAATCAGGGTACCAATTGTCATCACGAACTGACTTTGAAGATGATGCAGTATGAGCCTGCTTGCTATTCTTATTGGTAGTGAGTTCCAGATAATGGTGACAAGTAGCTGTTGTATGGCCAAGATACCCACATAGTTGGCAAACTACTATGGTGTTCTTATGATTGGATCTGCCTCAGTTATTGTTATGATTGTATGAAGCTTTCTTGGAGTTATTAGAGTCACCATCGTTATTGAACTGTCGAGGCTTATAAGAGGATGATTGATTATTGAAGATTTTCTTCTTGTTGGCCAAATTAGCAGAGGGAGACTCCAGAGGTTGTGAAGAATGGTGCTCTAAGCGCTTTTCAAAAGTAAGTAATAGACTTTGGATTTTAGAAAAAAAAAGGCTATCTAGTCTAATAGTTACAGAGACCACAAAAGTATCATATTTAGCAGGTAAACCACCAAGAAGATAATGAATTTGATCAACATYAGTAAGGAAATGTCCAGAGGCAACCAATGCATTAGATAAACTTTTAATTTTTTGAACATAATCAGTAATAGTGAGAGTACTTTTCTTCAGATAGGCTAACTCTAATTTCAAATCATGGATTCAAATTTTGATTTGAGGAGAAAAACATGACATGAAGTTGATCCCATACCTTTTTGGACGTCTTACAATGTACTTCTTGAGCCAATACAGGCTCTGTTAAAAAAGATAGTAACCAACTTATGATCAACTGATCTTGTTTGATCCATGCTGCATGATCTGGGTTGTTGTGGCCGGTTCCTTGACTGCTTCCATCTTCTAAGAAAAGTGGTGTAGTTCATGAACTCCAAAGCAAGAAATTGGTACGGTCCAATTTTACTGAAACCACATTCATAAAGTTGGAAAGTGAAACAACCATAATAGTTCGACCACTGGTCGATCCACACTGCATCCGATTCTGAATGGTATGAGCAGTGGTGCTTGTCACAGAAGCTATGGACATTTGGTAAGATAGCTTTGATACCATATAAGTGAAAATACAGGACAGCAAAGATGAGAGAATGATTCAGTTGAATTGTAACTGATCTCTCATGTATTAAATAAATGATTTATTAGAAAGAGATAATTATGTACAGAATTAGAGTTGAACAAGGAAAATAGTTACAAGATAAAGAAAACCAAGTTAGTTATAAGATAAGATAACCCAGTAATCCAGCCGAATTGATCTCATGTACAAGTCATGCGATGAAGTCGCAAGTCTATCCTAATATCGTGACTGAGATACTCTAACACCCATATTACTAATTAATGTTCCATGAGAAGTCAAATCCAATGTATATAGCCTGATATCCCTTAACAAGAATGCACGTAGAAGGGTAGACGTACTTTTTATTTATCTATCTATATTAATTATATACATTATATACAGGATTACAGCAAGAGAGAAATTCATTTTCCTATCTCTCCCTCTCTCTCTCTCTCTCTCTCTCATGTATCTGTTGGTCAGGTTTCACCTAGAAAATAAAGAAAAGCAAGTTGATATAAAACAAAATAAAACAACCATGTGGTTTTGGCACTTTGAAGAACACTCCAAGCTGGAAACCTTATCCGCAAAATTTATTACATAATTAAAGCATTTGATAACTGTTGAGAAAAACACTGAATAAGATTCCGAACAAAAAGCGCAACTTTGGAATCTGGGCTATATATCTCTATTTTCTTTTTATTAGTTTATCAAAAACTTGAAAAGATGTGGATCGATCGATCGTTAGAAGTGGAACACAATTAATGCTTATCATATCCGTTTTGCACCTACATCCTCTCTCTCTCCTCTGTCCTCACCTCCCGCATTCCAGATTTCCACCTCTTGACGATAACCGATCCAAGACCTTACAAAAAACCACCGTCATCTAGTTCCTCCGCCTCATCGGGGAAAAGCGGAAGCTGAAACCGTCGGATTAAGTTCAGCGGATCGCTTGACGATAACTGATGTTTATTCTTCTCTCTCTCTCTGGAACTGTAAGGTTTATCGTTTACGTAATTGATATATTATATCAAGTTGGATCGGTTGCACAAATTCAGCTGAGGAGACAAATGAGGACCTATCTACCCATCACAATTCACAAGCTTGGATTATTCAAACAGCGACGACTGACCAGACGATAATGAACGTTTTCGACGATAATTCCCAATAACAGATCAGAAGAACCCTAGGGGATCCTGTAGAAGCTCTTGAATCTTATCAGGTTTTACAAATCTCCCCGAGGTGAGTCACACGTGCCAAGATCCGCCTCAAATATCCTTATCCTAAATTTTTAGAAGAATGAAAGAATCTACCCCTCTTACTTGCCACGTGTACTATAAAAAGTCGTAAATCTCCAATTGGGCCAAACTTTACAGGTGGCTATTTAATATTAACTGTTGAGATCTGCCACGTGGTCATAAATTTGACCACGTCAAACCGCGAGTGAGAAAAATATAACTGGGTTTTGTAATTCTACCCAAATGAAAGGGCAAATCATTTTCTTTTGGATATAGGGAGGGGGCACCACGGTACCTCCATCTTTCTTGGGAGGAATCCTTTGCATCACGAGGCTCTCTGCTCGTACAGATGGAATCCACGTGGCGCCCTGAAATTGTATGCTTGTCATCTCGATCTTATCCAAACACGTTACTCTCAAGTTTTTCGCCACGTACCCATTCAGGTTCCCATCGACGGTGTGAATGCGTTTCATCACCTGAGACTTGCTCGACGTTTAACGCCTGGCTTGTCGTTAAATATCCGTGTAGTATAGCCCTCACTCACTTCCTTCTCCCCTGTGGTTATGGAGTTTTTAACTTTTTAATTTCTGGAAGTCTCGGAGCTACAGGTCGCCACCATGGGCCTTTTGGACAAGCTATGGGATGACACCCTTGCCGGTCCTCTGCCGGATAACGGCCTAGGAAAACTCCGGAAAAACTCTACCTTCAGTTTCCGGCCAAACCTCGGCAAGGGTAATCATGCAACCACTAATTTCTATTTCAAGTAATCTATCCGTTCTCTAAAAATTCCCCGGCGATATTATTGAATCCAGACAAGCTGCAATTTTCATTAATATGATTTCAACGTTTCAGATCTTTGTGGCTTGGGTTTAATTCGTTTTGGTTTTGTTGGCAGAAGCTGATGGCGGAAACGGTAGATCCTACGGTGATGAGTCAACTGACGAGGCGATGAGGGTTACCCGCAGTATCACGATTATAAAACCTCCTGGAAACTTGACCATTGGGAACGGATCGCCACCTGTTTCACCAGCCGGATCTACTCCTCCGGTATCTCCGTTTTCCGGTAAGTCTGTACGTCTGTTCCCTTCTTTTGTGGCTCAAATGGCGAAAATACCCCTGATGGTAATTGCCAAAGCGGGGTATCGAGAATGGAGAATCTAGAAAGATCTAGATATAATGAAGCGGGGTATTTTGGTCATCAGACATAGACGATCCCATATCAGAAATATCCCTGTCAACGTAATAAGATCCCGTCTGTTTTGTGTTAGGTTAGGCACTCAGGGCCTCAGGCTGGTGAGTCTGAGAGTGAACTGAGACATGGCCACTTGCCCGACTCTGGTTGAGTTTCAGTAAGTTGGATAAGATGCGCAGGCAGGGAATACATGTATATTTTTTGTTTTAGGATTTAAGAAGACGGATAATGAATCTGATCTGTCATCTTTGTGTATGAGTCTGAGGGAATTTTGACCGATGATGAACAGGTAGCTGGGAGTCGAACCGGTTTCGGCGGAGATCGATGTCTGACGCGTACGAGAGGCGGAGGGAAACTGGAGCGAGGAGTAGTGATGTGTGAGTGTGAGATGTGATCGATGTACTAGGGTATTCAGTAACGACAGAAGCTACTGCTTTTATGTGTTGGTGTTGCAATGAAGGAGAAATCAGCTAAGCGATCGAGTTACGATTAGTAGGTTATGTATTACTTACGGAAACTGTGTGTAGGCTTGTATTATATGCACGGCGGTCAGTCGGTCCTCGGTCGATCGTGTATATAATTTGCATTTGTATCGTGTCGTGTGCCGGGTTGTTGCCCTTTTTTTAAGTTTGTTCTTAGTGTACTCATCACCGTGTACTGCTCTCTGCTAGTTAATTAAAAGTGAAGAAGAAGAAGAAGAAGAAGAAGAAGAGGGGATCTGGTCTGGTTGTTTTTTTTTTTTTTTTTTTTTTCTGTGTGTGTGTGTCTGTAGAGTTGAATTCACGGAATGAGAACTGTTTGTCAGTTTTTCTTATTCTAATGGCGATAACTTTGTGTTTGAGTCTTGACATGCATCGTCCCCACTTGCATGTTGTATGGGGACAGACCTACACCTACTCCACTATACTCCGGCCCTCCACCGGCTACGAAAGGCCATTAATAGTAAATCTGGCTTGGCCTCAAACTCAAAGTAAATTAAAGTGGTGGAAGAATAATTGGATATTAGTTGAAAGTTGAAAGTTGAAACGACTTTGGGTCAAAATACAAACTGTAAAAGAATAGATGAAGTAAAAGGCAATGAACAGGTTATCTATCCATACAGTTATAAGATTTATGGGATCGGATCCGCTATCCTCTAGCTGTTCCTTCGGGTATTGAAGGAACAGCTTGTGGGTTTTTTAGATCCGGAGGGAAGATTTATAAATCATTGACATTTCTGTTAAATTTCTTTATCAACCATCCAAATATCCGTAAATACATCACTGATAATTCTAAAATGTCCCTTCATCCGCCATTTTAGCTTTTGGAAAATCCCTCTCTCTTCGTAAATATATCACTGATGTCCCTTCGTCCGCCAAATGGGTTTAAGAATATTTGAACAATTCTAGCTTTGGGTGGTAAAAGTTGGGAAACCAGACCCAAGATGCGTACATGCCTCATAGTCCAAACTCCAAATGCATGGAAATGGAAGTCTGGTCCAAGACTAATAGAGACTGGTACGATTGAAGTCTGGTCTAAGACTAATACGATTCTAGATGGGCCGGAATTTAGGGTTCTTCAATATAAAATTCAACAACCCCATGCAGTGAAGACTCTAAAATCCTTTTCCAAAGCTAAAACAGTTATCCCGATTTATGAATTAAAAGCCCACACAACCTCAGAGATCTAACATCAAAATTCTAACGTCAAAATTCTAACATCAAAATCCAAAATGGGTCTCGTTAAGAACCAATTTCACAACAAAAGGAACGAAAATTATCTCCCGGCGACGAAAAATACGAAGTGGGGTTTCCTCTAAGAGATCTGAGACGACACCGTAGACTGTAATTCTCTCAATTGTGTGCAATTCCATTCGTTTGGATCGACCTGTTAGTGTTTAACAATACAAATAGAGGGATCTGCAGCGAAAATTAATGTAATTACAAATTGTTCTTTATTAAAGAAGTTGAAGTGAAAGCTTGAACATAGAAAAAGAAAACGGGGCAAACGCAATGAGGATCCCGCACATTTCAGGGACTACAGCTCCCTGCTGGCGGATAATTCAGACGCCGAGTTAGCAAGTTCATACAGTATCAGAGTGTCTGGGTTGTTTTATTCGGGGTAGGCACTCCGATGTTTAAGTCAGTGAAGAGTTTTGAGAGAACTAAAAGCGAGAGTTAGAAAACTGTGAGAATTAAGTTGCGCATGTACCTTTTCTAAGGAATGAGACGCCTTTATATAGGCAAGCCATCATAAGACTCCCAAAGCATGTTCGAGATCTCCAGCCCGTCTGGTTCGGAGGTGGTTTCATGCATAGAGATGGACTCCGTGTAAGCGGGTAGTGTTTATCCAGTCGTGCCCGAAGTTGTCGGGGTGATAACTGGCTCTTCCAATGTGGCGTCATGATCCTAGAGAAGTTGGAGATGATAACTCGCTTAAGGAGGTTGCCCAACACGTCAAGCAAATCACTAACCGAGCTCTAATCAGGTTGACAGAAGCGAATCACCTCACATGTGGGCTTGTCATCCTACTGAGTGGCCCAAGCCGGTTCTTAGCTCGGTTGCCGAGATGAATCCTAGGTGGCCAAGTGGGTTCAAGATGTTGAGGGTGCTTTTGTGTGGTGCCGAGTCATTGCTTGACTGTATCATAGTGCCACGTGTCTTCATATCATTAGTAGGCCAAATCGCCCCTCATCAATACCCATCTTATATTACCATGTCTCATCTGAAAACAATCAATTAGCTTCTCCCAATCATCGAAGGAAAACCCAAAAACCGTGTTAAGTCTTTTGGAGCAAGCTCAATAGTTTTTTTTTTAATTTATTTTTATTTTTTTATTCTTTTAGTGCGCTAAGTGGGTCAGAGGTTAGTCGTTTGTGACTTAGTGTGTTGTTTACCATTTCTTTGGATATCCAGCTAATGAATGTGACTAGTGTTGAAACCTCGACGGGTTTGGGGTTGTTCACCATTGCTTTGGTATCTTAATTCTTGAGGAAGAAGATGATAAATAGTGTTTCAAAGGGAAATTTTGACATTTTCAAAAATTTTAAATTGTACATGCCATCATGTGATATATATAACTGATGGCTATTTAATGACAAGTGTTGGATTGACACGTCTTGAAAGTTCGGGTACTGAATTGTCGCATTTTAAAGTTTGGGAACCAAAATGACATTAGACCCAAAGTATAAGGTACTAATCGGGAATTTCCCATTTTTTATATTAGAATTAGTGCATCCCTTGGTGACTTTGTAATGACCACCATCTTTTGTAATTTCTAGTGGTGCAAATGGATTGGATCATGATCCAATCCGAGATCTAATCCTATTTAGTCGAATTCAGATCACCCCTCTTTAGATCTTCGGATTATATAATAAGATCTGATCAGAAATCGAATTGGATTCGGATCACCCCCTATCCGATCCGATATATATTATATATTTATAAATATAAAAATATATAATACATATATGTATATATGTTATTTATTTATTTATAAATATATTTTTATAAATTTGTTATATCATTCATTTTTTATAAAAACATGTATATATATGATAAAAATAATTAAAAAATACTGAATTTATTAATTTTTAAAGAAAACAAGTTGGGTCGAATTGGATCTAAAGATCTGACTTACTGATAGGATTCAAATTCAAAACGAGTCTTATCAGATCCGATCGAATCATATCTTCATACTCTTCCAGGAGATCAAGTTTTCACCTACAAAGGTACACACTCCTGATGTAGACCTCCTGTCATCTAAGCATCCTGCCCAGTCTGCATCTGTATAGGATTCTAGCTTTAGATTCTCATGATTTGAGAAAAGAATGCCTCTGCTAGGGTGTTTTTTTAGATATGCAAGTATTCTCTCAATAGCTTCTCAGTGCTGAACCCGAGGTGCATGCATGTACTGACTCACAACAATGATAGCATAAGAAATATCTGGTCGTGTCATAAGTAGATACAGCAGTCGGCCCACCATTCTTTGATATCTCCCCACATCCTTTACCAATTCACCATCCATACCATTAATTCTGTGATTTGGATCAATAGGAGTGTCCGCTGGTTTGGTCCCTAGCTGCCCAATCTCTCGTAGTAGGTCAAGTACATACTTTCTCTGTGAAATGAAGATCCCATGCTTGGATCTTGCAACTTAAATCCCTAAGAAGTATTTGAGCAAACCAAGATCTTTGATCTCAAATTCTTACTGCAATGATTTTTTGAGATCATCAATCTCCTCCAGATCATTTCCTGTCACCACTATATCATCCACATACACAATCAGAATTGATACCAAAGCATCTCTCCTCTTCACAAAGAGGGTGTGATCAGACCGTGTCTGTGTGTATCCAAAACGGATGAGTTTCCCTCTAAGTCTGTCAAACCAAGCCCTATGTGACTATTTTAGTCTATACAAAGATTTGCTGAGTCTGCACAGCTTTCCTTTCCCAACATTTTCATAAAAAGCTTGCTGGAATGTCCATATATACCTCCTCTTGTAAGTCACCATCGAGGAAAGCATTTTTGACATTAAGCTGGAACAAGGGCCATGAATAGGTGGCTGCTAGAGATAAAATGATACGAACTGAACTCATCTTAGCTACTGGTGCAAAGGTTTCCAGATAATCAACACCATAGGTCTGAGTATACCCTTTTGCTACCAACCTTGCCTTGTACCTCTCTGTCTTGCCATTGGCCTTATACTTCATTGTGAATACCCATCGACATCCGATTGTCTCCTTGTCTTGGGGGAGATCAACTATTTCCCAAGTTTGGTTTTTGACCAAAGCATCCATCTCATCTTGCATGGCTGTTTTCCACCTAGGTTTGGAGAGAGCCTCAGTAACATTCCTGGGTATAGACATAGAATCCAGGGAAGGAAAAAAAGCATGGTAAGGGTGATAAGGCACTGTAGGAAAGATGGTGTGAAATGCAGTGGGTTGTACACTTTCTCTTCCCCTTATGAAGTGCAATGAGAAGATCAAGGTCAGTGGGATCAACTGCAACAATTGTGTTAGGGATAGAAAACATAACAGGATCAAGAGGAATACTTGGAACTATATCTGCCGAATCTGGAGTTTCAGAAGGACTGACAGAGAGTGGTGTGGGTCGAGGATGTTTAGAGTCAACCATCATCTGTCGGCGCTGGTATTGCTGTGAGGCTGCCCGTAGTGTCTTAGGTAATGAAACTAGAGGTGCAGGTGGTGGCTGAATTGATGCTGGTTGAACTGATGGTGCAGGTGGTGGTTGAACTGATGGAGGCACCCCAGAAACAGGAAGAGGAACAAATTATGAGTTCTCCTCCCCAAAACTCTCCCCTGATGAGAACCACTTGAAAACAAGGATGTGGATTCACAAAATGTAACATCCATAGTGACAAATCTGCTCCTTGACACTGAGTCATAATAGCAATACCCCTTTTGGTTCTGAACATACCCAAGAAAAATACATTTCTTGGCCTTAGGATCCAAGTTTTTGCGATGAGGGCCAAGAATGTAAACAAAAGAAACATAGCTAAAAACCCTCAGAGGTATATGAAATATCTCTCCATCTAGAAAAAGGAGGTTAAATGGCACCTTAAACCCCAAAGTCTGTAAAGGAACATGGTTAATCATATGTACGGCTGTAAGAACTACATCTCCCCAGAACTGCATAGGAATTGATGCACACCCCTTAAGACTCCTTGCCACCTCCACAATGTGTTTGTTTTTCCTCTCAACAACTCCATTTTGTTGCGGTGTATATGCACAACTACTTTGATGAATTACACCATGTTCTAAGAGATATGTGGTTAGGTCCTTCTCAAAGTACTCTCTAGCATTATCTGATCTAAAA